GTCTTCAAACCCCTTATCAATTCCAGCCTCACCAAGAATTACCTCTTCTGTAAAAATAGGTTTTTTCCTCTATTTCCTCTTACCTTGTGGTCCAGCATCATTCACATTCTTCTTCAGCCTGTTTCTCTTTACTTACCTGGCAGCATTCCTCACAGATTTTAACTCATCATCTATCTCGCTGTCATCTTCTTCTGAAATATCTTCAAGGTCATCTTCACCAAAATTTTCATCTTCAGACAGATTTGTATCTGTTTCATTTGTGTTGTCATGCTCTGCAGTTGCACTCTCTTCAACATTTATATCCTCATATGAAAATGTAGCCCTAGTTTGTTCTACATTTACAGCACTACCCTCAGCAGTTTTTACTTCTATATCCTCAACCACACTTATACCAATACCCCCATTAACATTTACTCCAATACCCTCATCAATAGTTACATTAATACCCTCATCAGTATTTACTTGAATACTCTCATCTACATATACACCAATTCCCTCACCAACATTTACACCAATGCCCTCACCAACATGTACACTAACCCCTGGACCACCCATAATTTCTGTATTAGTTGTTGCTTGGTCACTATCACCAACCTGTAAGGAAGGTAAATATCCCACAGGGACATCCTGTGACGACCCAAAGGGTCATCACCTATTTCCTCATCCACTCTGTGCTTCCGAGGTCTTGAAAACCTCATTGTTACTTGCTTCGATTTGCGTGCACAATCCGGGCGTGTAGCCGGAAGGCTTAAATATGAATTATGTGTGAAAAATGATGAATTTTGATATTAATATGATTAAAGTTGACTTTGGTCAACATTTTGGGTAAACGGACCCGGACCCGAGATTGGACGGTCCCGGAAGGTCCGTAAAAAAATATGGGACTCGGGCATGTGCCCGGAGTCGAATTCCGATGTCTAGAGCCCGAGGAAAGAATTTTTCTATGAAATTGTTTCTCTGAAATTATTAAGGAAAAAGGAAATGAAAATTGATTAAAAGACTGTGGTATCGGGCTCATATTATGGTTCCGACGCCCGGTACAAGTCTTAAATATGTGTTAAGCGCTTTCTGTAAAATTTGGTCGAAATCGGACGTCATTTGACGTGTTTCGGACCCAAATATCTAAAGTTTGAAGTTTATGAAGTTATAATGAAAAATGATGAATTTGGGGCTTGATTCAATGATTTTGATGTTATTTTGGCGATTTGATCGCACGGATAAGTCCGTAGCATGTTTTTGAGGTTGTGTACATGTTTGGTTTGGAGCCCCGAGGGCTCGGGTGAGTTTTGGATAGGCCACGGGGTGAAATTTTGGACTTAAGGAATTGCAGGTCTGCATGTTTCGCATTTCCCAAACATTTTTCGCAATTACCAGGATTGTTCGCATTTCCCAAACTTTCTTCGCAATTCCCAGGTTTGCATTTCCCAAACATTTTTCGCAATTCCCAAGCCTGTTCGCATTTCCCAAACTTTCTTCCCAATTCCCATGTTCGCAATTCCCAAGCCTGTTCGCATTTCCCAAACTTTCTTCGCAATTCCCAAACCATTTTCGCAATTCCCAAGCCTGTTCGCATTTCCCAAACTTTCTTTGCAATTCCCATCTTCGCAATTCCCAAACCATTTTCGCAATTCCCAAGCCTGCTGGGTTCGCAATTGCGAACCCATGTTCGCATTTCCCACATCTGAGACCTGCAATTTTTCATACTTATATTCCCTTGCCGGGACGTTTGGTTGAACTTGTTGGTTTCTTTCCCTTGCCGGGATTTTTGTCAAATATTTGCTTTTTTTTTTATGCCTCTTAATCGTGACTGTTGTTTGGGGAGTCAGACTGTTAAATGATGTGGATCGGGTTGTGCGCCACAACAAAGATATTGAGGATCGGGTTGCACGCCGCANAGTGTTTATTAAAGTAATTGAACAATTTGTAATTAGATTCGAGCGAATTGGAGGTGGAACCGCGAGGTAAAGCAATAGTTGAGGATTAAGTGGATTTCAAGGCTTTGAGGTAAGTGTTTGGTTTAACCCTAGCTTCAGGGAATAAGAGTTGAGTCTTGTTGCTAATTGCTATGTGATCGAGTACGATGTATAGGCATGGTGACGAGTATCTATACATTGGTGTCTAGCATGACCGTGAGTCCTTATAATGTGATTATCATGGTTTGGTTGTGAACTCCGTGTTTATTGGAGGATTTCTATATGTTGTGAATAACATGTGAACGGTGATATGATCATTTGATCCTAGGAGCATTGGCTCGAATTGTGATACGAATATTGAAAGTATATGAAATGACTTGAATCTGTGGAGCGTTGGCTCAATATGGTAGAGTGGATTATAAGATAAGAAAAGTAAGAAAGAGAAAGCGTTGTTGATTATTCCCTTGCCGGGACGTTTGGTTGAACTTGTTGGTTTTTTTCCCTTGCTGGGATTTTTGTCAAATATTCGCTTATTTTTTTTATGCCTCTTAATCGTGACTGTTGTTTGGGGAGTCAGACTGTTAAATGATGTGGATCGGGTTGCGCGCCGCAACAAAGATATTGAGGATCGGTTGCACGCCGCAACAATAATATGTGAGGATCGGGTTGCGCGCCGCAACAATGATACATGATAAATGATGTGGGTCGGGTTGCGCGCCGCAAAAGTGGTATTTTTGGATCGGGTTGCACGCCGCACAGTGGTATTTGTGGATCGGGTTGCACGCCGCAACAATGGTAAATTGTGGACCGGGTTGCACGCCGCAATAATTATTGATACCATTGTTTATATTGAGTATTGTTTTCCTTGTTCATTTTGAATCTAAGCTGCTTTAGTTTGTTACTCGGAATTACTGTTACTATTGTTATCTCCCCACAGCATGTTTCCCCCTCCCATATTGCTAGTTGTTTGGTATTTTGTTTCCGCTGTATATTTATAACTGCACAGGTTTATGTGGTGTCCGGTCTAGCCTCGTCACTACTTCGCTGGGGTTAGGCTAGACAATTACCAGCACATGGGGTCGGTTGTGCTGATGCTACGCTTCTGTGCATTTTTGCACAGGTCCAGGTTCTGAGGAGCAGCAGCAACATTAGTACGGGAGCAGGCTTTCATTATCACGAGACCGAGGTAGCCTTGCAGGCTTTCAGTTCCACCTTACATACTCGGTACATTATTCGTACTGACGTCCTTTTGTTGGGGACGCTGCATTCATGCCTGCAAGTATAGACAATCAGTTTGACGAGCCCTCATAGTAGACGAGGTTAGCATTCATCAAAGGATCGGTAAGACTCCACCTCATTCGGAGTGCAGCCGAGTCTATACGTCATTGTGTCAGAGTTTTGCTGCAGACTAATGGGTAGGGCGGTACCCTGTCCCATTTGATATGAAATAATCTTAGAGGCTTTGTAGACACAGGTTTATTATGTACAGTATATCAGAGGCCTTTGACGGCCCATATGTATTCATGTTTTAAAAACGATAGTTTATTGAAACAGTGTTGCCCACTTATAGTTATACATTACGAGTTGTGGCCATGTTGGCCCATGATGGTCATAGAAAAAAAAGAGTTGCAGATTGGTTCGCTCGGGCCAGTGCGGCACCGGGTGCCAGCCACGCCTCCCCAGGTTCGGGGCGTGACAGAAAGAACTTCTGAGTTTTAGGACATTGAACAAAGAACCCACCAACTGAGTTGTAGCGTATTTCAGGGTTTTCTTTTGTTTAAGACAGAAGCTCGGGCAGAGAGAAATGTTCTTTGTCCATCACATGCCCTATTTTTTCACCCTCCCCACATACTTTCCATCAATAAAGTGACCCCCATGATGAAAAACAACACTAATATATTCGTCCATGTGACTCGGTATTGAGAATGACAAAAGAAAACCAGTCAATATTCTCTGACCTTTTCAATTTTCTAGAGAAAAAAATCCTAATCTAATAGCACCATAACAGACATATAACAATAAAATACAAAAATAAATAATCTAAACATACCTTTATGCAATAATCGAAGCCACTTCATAGCTGACGCCCCTTTTCACAAAAACTCCACTGTCAAAATCCTAGGACGACCTTCCTTCAGGTGATAAATCTTGAACCAATAATCAATTCGAACAAACCACAACTAATCCTACTTAGTAAATGAAAGAAATGTTGAATTTTGGAACAAAAATGCCGATTGAACCAAGCTTAATCAAAGAGATGAAGATGGTTGGAATTCGGTGAGAGAGAGAGGGAGAGTTAGACCGAAGAAACAATGGAAATTAACCTTTATGTTTTATGTTTTTAATTAGATGCCTTTTAATTATTTATTTCTTATTGGTTATCCACGTGTCACCTTCTTATTCGTTCTTATAATAGACACTGGAGGTGTAACACACGCGACGGGAGCTGGTGAGGTCGGGTGTTTATTGAGTTTACTTTTTAGTCATGTGAAACGTTTAAATGAAAAAGGCCTCAGTTGATGTGTTCAAATGATTGTTGGGGACAACTTAAAGGGGCGCTTTATGCATTTCGTCGATTAGATCCCGTATCTTATCTTACCATGCATCCTCCATACCCTTTATTCAAATAATTTCCTCACATATAAAATGATCTTATTAAGTAAAGTTAAAATTAAAAGTAAAACCATTATAAAAAATATTTAAACGAAAAAGCTTAAAAAGAGTAGCTAGAGAAGCAGCGCAACCCTAGTTCATCTGTTCATGTAACCTTGTAGGTGTTAACATCAATCGTCTACATCTTCTAATTAATACACAGGACCAAGAGCATGGCTCACGCCTCACAATTTAACAATAAAATGATAACTGAACTCATATTTTCATATTATTCACGTGGAAATATATAGGGGAAAGAGACGGCTGTAGTGTGGGACTCTTCTGCCTCCTTTTTAGATCACTATCACCACCCGAGATATTATAGCAGGATTCCGTGGAAAACATTTCAAACATGTTAAAATGATTTTTTCTATAAAAAATTGTAATTTTTGGTTCATTGATAACGAAGTTGATGTGTGAATTCATATCGACCATTAATAAAATATAATTATCCGTGTAGTATGATTGAACCTCATTTCTTATTACGTCTAAAGAAGTAAAATTTCACCAGTATATTAACAATATAAGCTCCACACTACAACTGCTGATCAGAGCACAAGACATCAGAAATATGGCTTGGGAATCCAACAATATCATCACAAGTGTTAAACAACTTACGGAGACGCCGAATCTGATGAAAGCAGTATTGCCTTGTTACTATGCTCACCCTAATAGCCCCATTCACTCCCCGGCCTTTGACAGTAGTAGTACTGATGCAGATTCAATCCCTATCGTTGATTTTTCCCTCCTTTCTTCAGAAGATCCTGATCAACACTCCAATGCCATACAGAACCTTGGACGAGCCTGTGAAGACTGGGGTTTTTTCATGGTACGTAAGTATAATAATAAAGTAGTAGCTAATTAGCTAGCATGGTTTTATTAAACTTCAACTTAAGATTCTTAGGTGCTAGCGCGCTATTGTATTAGTTGCAAGTATAGACAATTGTAGGTCTAGCTCTTATTTTTGATTCTGCGTATTTTACTATATCTGTGTTTTCTTCGAACCACACACACATATATTTGAAATAAAAGTATAGATATATTAGTAGATATAGTTTTGTCTAATAATTGTCATGCGGATGTAGGTGGTGAACCATGGAATAGCAGAAAGTTTGATGAAGGAGATGATTGAGGTGACAAATGAGTTTTTCGAGATGGCGGAGGAGGAGAAGAGTCGGTACATAGGGCAACAAGTATTTGATCCTATAAAGTATGGCACCAGTTTTAATTATACGTCAAAGGAGACAATATGTTACTGGAGAGATTACCTTAAACTCTCTGTTCATCCTCACTTTCACTCCCCTCATCAACCCAAGCATTTCAGGTTCTTTCATTGTCTCGTGATAAATTATATATGCAGAAGATTACTTTATTATGACAGAAAAATCTAAAGAGGTCTACCTATAGCCTATTGGCTTTCACATATTTAACATGATACGTCACATTCACTCACCAAAAGTTTACAAGGTATAATGAAAAGAAAGCTAGTTAGCTTGAAACCTGAAAAAGCAATGTTCAAATTCATAGTACCGCTTTTTCCTTTGGCTAGTGGGGATAATGAATGATCATTTGATGTACGTAAATAAAGAAAGAAAGAAATTAATAATGATGACATTTTAAATGAGAAACAACGAAGAAGTTGAATTATAAATTGCTCATTTAGCTTTTATGACTTCAAACTGTTTTGCTTCTCTCTAATTGAAGGATTTCTTGAAGAGTTATATTTCAAGTCTCAAGTTAATTAAATAAAATAACTCATGCATGTCGGTCGATAGGATAGTTTGGGTGTCCTTTATTTACCTTAACGTATACAGCTAGCAGATTGTACATTCTATACATTAAAGATTGCATACACTTGTTTCCTCTAAAATATAGTAGCATGTCTCATTAAAATAAATTTGGAAAAGCCAATACTTGTACAACAAGAGAATCGTCCTATCGAAATTATTACTTCAAAAAATCCCGATTTGAAATTTGGCCATGAGAGGTCACAAATCATGCTAAAAGAAAATGGTCGATTTCATGTCTAAGGTGGGTTCAGTGAATTCATCTGTCAACAGGTCACTCGTGTCTGAGGTTGGCCTGTGCACATCTGTGTGGCTATTTAAGCTTCTCATTAAGTGTAAAATAAAAATTTATGTTATAATATTATTTTCAAATTTATAAAATTGTCATTTTTTTCTAGAACAGACTAAAAATAATATTTAAAAGAAATACATATGTTTCATCTAACTCAATTATATTAATGACTTATTTATCTAAAGAATAATTTTCATATTTTCTAATTCAAATTTTTATAAATTTTCAATTCTTCTCCTTTTTTTGAAGGAGAACAATGTGCAAATTAGAGTGTGGTGCCTTTTGTTTAGTTCATTTTTTTTTCTATAAAGCTCATTTATTCGTCATGAAAATAAGCTTCGTTTCCCTTATTTTTTAAATTTTTGCTTTGTCGTTTCATTTTACAGAGAGGTTTTAAGGGAGTATTGTGAGAAATGCAGAAAAGTGACAAGAACGCTACTCTCAGGAATATCAGAAAGCTTAGGACTGGAACACGAGTTGATGAAAAAATCCCTGGATCTGGACTCGGGTTTCGAAGTGTTTGTTGCAAATTACTATCCAGCATGTCCCCAGCCCGAACTTGTAGTGGGCCTTCCACCCCATTCAGACTTTGGGCTTTTGACCCTTCTCATACAAAATGAAGTTGGAGGTTTACAACTACAACGCAATGGAAAATGGATCAACATCAATCCCATTCCCAACTCTATTTTGGTTAACACTGCTGATCACCTTGAGGTATAAAATATTCTGTAATATTACTCATTTTATCCTTCATTATTTGATACTTTGAATTTTGAAATAATGGTTAAATTTTCATTTTTTTTTTTTTGGCTAGTTTTATCACATGTTTATGGTAGTTTTAGTGACGAATTTGTCTATTTCTAATTTTACACTAAACATTGGTCAAAATAGTTCTTGAAAAACTTTGCGAAGAAAAATCAAGTGATCATAGTTTCATACTTTCATTTTCTTGTAACATTTACTATGTACAATTTCAACACTGTTGTGACTATGTGCTTTCCTTGGGCCGAGGGTCTATCGAAAACAGTCTATCTGTCTTCACAATACACTATCCTCCCCAGACCTCACTTGTCCACTTTGTGGGAATACACTGAATTTGTTGTTACTATATGCAACCTGATTTCTTTTTGTGGCATGGACAGATATTTACAAATGGAAAATACAAGAGTGTATTGCACAGAGCAGTAGTGAAGAAAGTAGCAAGGATATCAATAGGAATTGCAAATAGCCCAGCTATAAATGCCACAGTGAGCCCAGCTGCTTCACCTTTAATCCAAAATGAAAGATTTCCACCACTCTATTTTCCAACCAAATACAGTGAATATGTGGAGATGCAACAGACTAATCCGCTCAACGGAAAATCGTGTCTAGATCGAATCAAGATTAATTCACCACCACTTTGATTTTGTTAAACACAGTATGCTATTGCTGGCAAAATTACACGGTTATTTTGAAATTTTTCTCTTGTTAATTGACATGTAATAATGTTTCTCGTGGCAAATTGCCTTTGGTTTACTTTACAAGCTATACTCCAAATTGCCCCTTATGTAACTGGATATGAGTTATTGGTCTTTATGGATAGATGAGGACTGAGGAGAACTTTTACTTAATTATGTCTTACATAATAGATTACTATAAGTTCTGTGGATTGAAGCATTCTATTTGTTTGACAAGTGGATTTTGTTTAATTTACCCCAAAAAAGAAGTAATCAAAATTCCTTAATAACACGAGTGGGCAAATTCATCTTTGGAAGGTTTTACGATGGATAGGAGCAGAATTTGTGAACTTTATCCAGGGGTTATAGATTTTACAAACAGATTGGACAAAATATAAACCACAATTATCTGACTTATTAAAGAAAACGTTTGCGTTATTGCCCTTCCTTTTTATTTCTATTCCTATACTATAAGTGAGGATAAGAAGGCATGTGATGGTCAACATGTCTGCTTCACCATAGGGGTATTTTTGTCATTTCAGGTGTTGTTTGACACGTTCACCCTATCTCCGCTTCTCAATTCTATCATGTTACATGAAGCTGCTTTAATTAATAGTTTCTCATCTATTCAGTTTGTGTATCTATCTATATATACTCATGGGTTTTGAAAGTTTCCACCTACTTTTTGCGCTTTGATTCTTCTTTCTGGAAGGTAATTCAAATAAAATTGGCAAGTAACGAGTAGATCATTTTTGTACAGAGTCCTGTTTATAGAGTTTACATTTCCCTCTGTTTCTACATGTTGTGTATCTACCTTATCAAGGTAATGCCATCCCCGCCATAACCAAAGTGATGATGAATGCTTCTATTGCTTTTACAAATGGCCACTTTCCAATATATCAGATTAAATGGAAAAAATGCAAGTGATTCCGGGGTGATAAAATGTGAAATGAAGCTTAAATTGATGTTCTTAGAAGCTACATGTAGGTGATGCTGACTTAGTATATATTTATATACGTTATGAATTCTCAAATATGTATATAGTTCTAGCTGAATGCAGTGGTTTGACCTGCACCCTCTTCCAACCATCTAGATCCCTGCCTGTCTAATGCTGATTTATTGTCATCTATTGCTAACTTTCCTTCGATTATCCTCCTAATTTAAATCAAGACACAAACTCTATTTTGCTTTGATGGCTGATTAATTATTAGAAGCAGCTTTGAATAGTGTTCATACATTTGGCATTTGTAGACAAACAGTCTTAAGATCTGTGATTTTAAAGAAAATTTTAGAGCAAAGGCAGAGAAGAGATATATTAGATCATGCCTGAAGGATTTGGAAAGAGTAACCATTCAATAACATCTGATAGATTTAGGAGAAAGGGTTAGCGTTTAATAAATTCTCAACGTTATAAGAAGAATCATATAACAGTTTCCTATTTTGCTAATCATAAAATTTCTGTTCTGAGGTGTATTGAATTTAGATGCTTAATTTCTGGAATGAATGTTTGTAATGACACTGTATTATTTCAGGCTTTGTATCATGCTCTTCTGATGAACTATGTAACTATTAGAAAACTTCAAAGTAAACTAGAAGGAGAAACAAATCAAACGACTGTGAAGAAGCTAATAGATAAAATGACACAAGATGGCTTTGGTGATACTAACAGCAACACCTGACATTCTTTTATGTACACCTTCTGTTAAATCTATGGAAGGATGTGCCATGTAAAATTTACATGCTTCCAACAATTTTATATTTTAGCGGTGCAGCTAAACAACCTGATACAGCAGTATCATGTTGAAGATCGGCATTAAAAGGAAGAGAAAATTTTGGACACAGTTGGATTGAAACAGGCACATTGAAGGATAGTACATATAAACTTACAGAGCTTAGAAAATAAGAATCTTCTTGCCACATTAACACAAAAATAATATACTGTTATCCAAATGTGCTACACGTTTTTTGGGAATTTTTTTTAATGCTTTAGTACCTAAAATAAAGCAATTGGTGTAAATTGCTATTTATGGTTCATACTTATACTGTTTGTTGGTTCTTCTGGTAGAGCTTAATGTTTGCACATTCTGCACCATCTTAATTTAGAACTAGATTACCCTTGTTATGGAGAAATTTAAGATTTAGAGGGTTAATTGATGCTCATTGGATTCGATTTTTCTATGTAGTTTAACCCTTAACAAAAATGTTTATATCTGGTGAATGTTTTGTCAGCCTTGAATAACATCTATAGTTTAAGAGAAATTTTAATGACAGGGAATAGGAAAATCCAAGATATCAGTAATCTTTCACACTTTTGCTGCCACTTTGAACTTAGTGTAAATCCAACCCATGCATTATGGGCTTGGCATCGTCATTAGGACATTTATCATGAAAACACTCATGGTAATCAAATATACATTGTACGACAACCTCAATCTTGCGCTGTACAACAACCTCAAAGGTGATTGTGGACAAATAAATCTTTAATAGAATTATTCAACAAAGTGAAAAAGTAATCGAGTTTATAGACCAATAACTCTGATTATGATATAAGGTGTTGTATAGGTGTCCAAAGTTGCTATAATCTTCTCCAAAAGCTAGATAGTAACTGGGACAACAAGTGACTTAGAAGATGACACGGAGGACAAAAACAACATAGCAAAATGCCCTGCTTTGTGTGAAATGTTGTCGAGGCAACATGTCTTGACCAAGATAATTGGCAGAGGAGAGGACTTTCTATTTGTACCAGCTGTTACCTGTGTGAAAACCGACAAAGAATCCATCAGCCATTTAAACTTTTTTGATGTTGACTGCGTTATGCCACACAATATTAAATGCTTACTTTCAGATTGGCAAGCACAAAGAATTGATAAAGCATTCTTCTATTGTAAAATAAAAATGTATACAAAAGTTATGTTTGTAGAACACGCAAACCTACCAAAAGCTATTGAAACGCTCAACAAAAGAAGAGCATATTTAATATCCTTTATTAAATTACCACATATATCAACTGGTACATGACGTTATATGTGCATTTCCAATGTCGGCTTGGTTGAAAATATTTATTGTACTCCACATATATAGTCTATCTACTATAAAAGAGGTGATCTGTGTATTGTAAGGTTTACCGTTCTTGCAATGGAAGCAACATCTCTAAGAATAAGTCTTATTATTATCTCACTTTGTTGATTGGTATGAGATACCAAGCCAGAAGAAGGAATATATCATTTTCCTTGAACAATTTAGGCTCCTACAGATTTGATGAAGTAGGAAAAAAAATTAATTTCCACAACTATATATTGGATACTATTGGAAACAATTGCGATATTGGGCCCGTGCTTAGCACGGGCGATTCCCCACTAGTAATTATATAATGGAGTGCACAAACACTTGTCATTCAATAAAGAAATTTTTACCTCCTATAGCAAAGGTTAACACCTTATTTATTTTAAATAAATACCATTTAAAAAAATTATATTCTATAGATACCTTTTAATGTTTATAGCAAAATATCTAATTTTGGTTACCTCTTACCCCTAAGCCACTAAATATGCTATTCAGTTACACTATTTTCTTTCTCTCTCTACTTTGATACATGTCATTCTCCTCCCCCATTCCTTGAAAACACGATGCTCAATCTCAAAATTCCTCTCACTCACATCACCTACCATTAGTCACCCTTCCCAAATTTCAATTTGTCCAGAACCCACGCTCTCTTCTCTCTACTTCGCTAGGGTTTCGATACACAGTTCCCATTTTTCGACTCACTCTAAATCATCTCGATCCAGTAGTATTCCATCTAGGGTTTCGTCAATCTCGATCTGAAAATGGCATCTTCAGCGGCAGTTTCGGCGCCCCTTGCTGCTCCTTCATCTAAAACCGAGACAAATTCCTCTCACCCATCTCAAAATTTCTGTTAATATATTTCAATGTATTTTCAACGTATCACGCTGTATTTTCATGTATTTTATTGTATTCATTGTCTTTTTTTTCATTGTATTCAATGTATCTCGCTATATTTCATGTATTTCATTGTATTTAATGTCTTTTTTTTCATTGTATTTCAATGTATCCCGCTGTATTCTATGTATTTCATTGTATTCACTGTCTCGCTATATGTCATGAATGTATTCATATGTTTTTTTTAATTAATATAATTTTTGTATTCAGATGTATTATATAATTTCTCTGAAGATTGCTATGTTTTTGGGGGTATTTTTCGGTTGAGAATCTTTTTTATAACTGGAAATACAAAAATTGTGTGTTATAATTGAGTTTGTTGAGTTATATTAGGAGTCTATTATGTTAATTGATTCACTTTGCGTTTGAAAAAAGTGTAATCCCCTGTTTCACGTCGTGAATACAGTCGAATACAATAATATGTCCAGCTGTAATCCCATGTTTCATGCCATGAATACGGTCGAATACACTCAAATACAACAACTGATTAGCTGGACTTCCCTGATTCACGCCTATTTTTGCTACTGAATTCATGAATACAGTAGCTTAAATACATCTAATACATCTTATAGCAACAGAAAACGTATCTACAATCCGTAATATAGCAAATAGTATCTATAGATAGCTAATTACCACTAAAACATAGTGCTTTATAAAAATTTCTCTTCAATAAAATGTTTTCCACAACTTCTGTTGCTACTTTGACACATAAAACAAAAAAGAAATATATCTTGATAAATGACAATCAAATGCAGACAGCAAATATTATCATCATCTGTTTCAAGAATTTTCAGCAACTACGCACGCAGCAATCATCACTTGGGCTTATCTCCACCCAGTAACAGAGATGGAAACCACAGCTGCTCCACTGCTTCAACCACCCAACATCAAACAATTAGCTGATTCACCTGATCTCCACTTCATACCTTCTAATTACGTTCACTCATCAAATGATCCTGCTGACTCCTCTGCCACAGACCCTGGTGAGTTAAACTCAATTCCCGTCATTGATTTTTCTCAACTCACTTCGGGTGATCCTCATCGACGTTCCATAGCCATCCACCACCTCAGCAAAGCTTGTCAAGATTGGGGCTTTTTCATGGTACATATTATGAATTATGAGACTGACTTGTCTTATGGTAATCTTAGTAGCTCAGTTGGTTGCCTACCTAAACTTTTACCGTATTGGTGAGGGTTCAATTCCCTACCTTGTATTCCCCTTTTCCTACCCCCGTGATTAAAAGAAAATGGTTGT